GGGGGATTTCTAAGGACACCCTCAATTGAGTGTGGGGGGGTGGCCATCAAGGGCTGTCCCAGGGTGAGCTTGTCTCCGTTCTTAACCAACAAGGCCATAGCCACAATCATTCTGAGGCAGCCCGGCCATCCTGAGGCCACGGGATCAAGCTCTTTTGACAAGCCAGCCACAGGTCTATTCCAAGGCCCAAGCACTTGGGTCAGGACTCCCTTCACCATTCCAGCTCGTTCGTCAACAAAGAGCTGATAGGGCTTATGGACATCTGGCAGAGCTAAGGCTGGAGCCGGCAATAAGGCCTTTTTAATTTCTTGAATTAAAGGAGTGTCCTCTCCTGAGTCTCAGTCCATAGGAAGGATGACTCATTCCCTCGAGTGGCTTCATACACGGGTTTTCCCAGCTCAGCAAATCTGAGTATCCAGAGCCGGCAGAAGCCTGAGACCCCAGGAACTCTCACAACTGCCTGCGGGATCTTGGGGTTGGGATTCCCATAATGGCTTGTTTTCTGGCTTGTGACAGCCATCTCTGTCCATCCCTTAATATGTACCCCAGGTACATTATCTAGGTGACACAGAGCTGAGCCTTCTTGGTGGAGACTTTCTACCCCAATTGATCCAAGGTCAGGAGCAAAACCCTGGTGGCCTGAAGACAAGTGCCTTCATCCTTAGTGGCAATCAGCAGGTCATCTACGTAGTGTAGGAGGCTTACCTCTGGGTGCGAGGCCTGATACTCCTGCAAATCTTGATGTAGCACCTTGTCAAAGATCGTAGGGGAGTTCTTGAACCCCTGTGGCAGTTGTGTCCAAGTGAGTAGTCCATTAAACCCCTGGTTCGGGTCTCACCACTTAAAGGCAAAAATGGGTTGAGATCTAAAACAGTATAGACTTTTCTCTCCAGGGAGAGTGAGCTCAGCAGGGTATATGGGTTGGGGACTGTAGGGTAGATATCCTCTACCCTCTTGTTAACTTCTCTCAAATCCTGCACTGGGCGGAAATCGTTAGTCCCCGGCTTCTTGACGGGTAGGAGAGGGGTGTTCCATGGAGATTGGCATGGAACCAGAATACCAAACTCCCTAAGGTGGTTTATGTGTTTGGTAATTCCTGCCCTGGTTTTGAAAGTCATCGGGTACTGTTTTACCCTTATAGGCTGAGCATTAGCTTTTAAGGTGACCCTTAGTGGTGGCTGTTGGATGGCCCTCCCTGGGGGATTAGTCTCCACCCAAACTCCAGGGATTGTTGCCTGGAGGTCCTTAAGGATACTCATTGGTCTCTTTTGAGGTGGTGGGGCATGCACCCTCCATTCTTCTTTCAATTGCAAACACAGAACATAGGCTGTGTCCAGTACAGTCACATTAAGAGGTCCTCTCCCAGAGAAATGGATCTGAGCCTTCATTTTATTTAGCAAGTCCCTACCCAATAAGGGATACGGGCACTCTGGGACCACCATAAAGGAGTGTGAAACTGTCTTCTTACCTAAGTTTACTTCCCTTTTGGTGGTCCTGGGATGTTGAGCGATTCCCGTGGCCTGTTGTACCCAGGTGCATTTACTGGTCAATTTTCCCATAGGCTCTTTCAAAACTGAATGTTGTGCTCCAGTGTTGACTAGGAAGTCAGCGGCTCATCCCTCCAATTGTAGGGTCACCCAGGGCTCATGGTGGAGGTTCATTGAGCCTGGGCCCCTTCAGTTTTCTAGGTTCACCAGTTTGAGGATTGGGTTTGGAGGGAGGCTGGGATCCTGGCCTTTGAGGATATTCCCTAGCCCAGTGGCCCAGTCGTTTACAATATGAACACTGGTCTCTTTTTAGGCGGGGCCAACCTTCCTGTGGGGGGGGTCTCAAGGCTCAGGTTCCCTCTTTCGTAGGGGGTCGGTCCCCCCACTCGGAATTCATCACCCTGTCAGCCATCAGTATTCTAGCCAGCCCTCTAGTTTGTCTTTCTTTAGGGGTTTTTCTATTGTTAAATACCTTATTCTCCAACGCCATCAGCTCAGAAAGGTTTTTGCCCTTGAAACCTTCCAGCTTTTGAAGTTTTCATTTTATGTCTAGAGCTGCCTGATTCATGAAAGCCATATTGATGGCCATCTGATTCTCTGGGGCCTCTGGATTAATGGGAGTATTAAGTTCTGAAGGCCTCTAGGAGGTGCTCCAGGTATGCCCCAGGAGACTCATCCCTTTTCTGCATCAACTGAGTGACCTTAGACAAATTTGTAGGGCACTTAGCAGCTGCCTGGAGATCCCCCCATAAGAATCTGGCGATAGAACTTTAGGCGTCCCCTACCTTCTGGAGTGTTATAGTCCCATCCCTCTGTTAGGCACATGAGGGGAAAAGGAGCCACAATCAAGTCCTCATTCTCTGTCGGTCACCCATTGTCTCCAGGGAGTGCATATCTGCATTCCCGAAGAATGCGGTTCCATTCCTCAGTGGTGAACAGGATATTTAGTAACTGTTGGCAATCATCCCAAGTGGGTTAGTGGGTAAAAAGAACAGTATCCAGGAGGGAAACTAGGGCCTGAGACTTCTCTGTGAAAGAGGGGGTCTGTAACTTCCAATTACACAGGTCACTAGTAAAAAAGAGAAAGTAGACTACAGGTGCAATTCCATCCTCCCTCAGGGGCCCAATCTCTCTCAGAGGAAGAGCTTGTACTGTCCTCCCCTCCCCTGTGAGCTAGTGTGCAATGGGCTAGGCTCAGCAACGGGAAGGGCCGGCTCAGCTATGGGAGCCGGGGACAGAGACCGGGAGGAACTGGGGAAGGGAGAGGCTCGGGATCTGCGTTCTCTAGGTCTATCCTGAGCACTCGATGGGGCCCCGTAAGGGGGTGGGAGTAAATCCTCCTCTGGCGCCGAGGGGAGGACTTCAGGACCTGATGAGTTTTTGGTCTGGACTTTCTTCAGGGGAAAGCAAAGTGGTGACCCCTTCAGCCCCGATGGCGGGGGCGAAGTAAGGGGCACAGCGACCAGATATTACCAACCTAGGATGTAGGGGATCTGGTCAGGGTGCCCCGGTTCCCCGAAGACAACTCCTTGAACCCTGTAAATGAGGGACAAGTTAAAAGACCCATTATATGGCCATTCGATGTCAAAGGAGGGCCATTTGATGGTGCAGAGGGTCCGGAGGCGGGTCGGCTTGACATGGAGTCCAGACATGGTCAAGGCTGCCCGTTTGCAATCCTGAAAATGACTAAGAACTAGATCAAGGGGAGCTGACGATGATGAGACTTTCTGGCCCATCATGGGATAAGCTTCAAGATAAAGGAATATAAGAAGAAGAATGAGAATGAGAAGTAGGATGGAAAGTTGACAGACAAGGCGGAGCTCCAAACAAAGGGTGAGGACAGTATGAGATGGTGGCTCCCTAGAGAGGGAAATGAAAATCTTGCAGCGCGTGGAGTCAGCCAAGAAGGCTGCCCCTATCCCTTTCCCAAAAAGATTTGGCCAGCCTGGATTCCATATCAGACTTGACCAGAATCTTGTATCAGGCCCGCCCAGATTCCATGTAGGGCTGGGCCGAGACTCTGGGCTGGTCCCGCCTGGATTCCACATCAGGCTGGAGCAACACCCCCTATCAGAGGAGGAGTCAGAGCATCCCCCGTTCTCCTCAAGCTCTGGGATCAATAGTGTGTCCACCTGATCTCTGTTGAGCCCCAGGATGTCCGGACTATGGAAAAGCAGGAGAGAGAGAGAGAGAGAGAGAGAGAAAGCAGGTGAACTTACCAAGGCTGACTTCGTTGGCACACTACCGTGGGTCTGGGGTCTATATTCTCGAATCCCAGATAAGTCCCCAAATGTTAGGGTCCGAGAACCGAGACTAATTCCCACAGACACCAAGAAGATTGTACAAAAAAAATTTATTCCGGAATTTAGAGCAAAAGCAACCAAATAGCAGCTAGCCAGGCACAGACTTCACGAGCCAAAGATGAAGTCTGGCCCCGAACAATAGCAGGCAGGGGCTTTTATTGGAGAACTCTACAGAAACCTACGCGTGCCAAGCATCTTTTAAAATAATTGGATAGTGCCATATCCTGAGTACAGGGGAAGTTTTGATTGGTAGGGGCTGTCTTCAGGGCATTGGAATGTGCTGACTGATATCTTTAGGGCTGGAACTTTTTGTTCATACCTTATAAGGCTTTTACATGTCCAGGGCTTGCTTAATCTATAGCTTCCTGAGGGGGTTAGCAATTGGAAATTACAATATGCCTGAGCTTGCTTGTCCAGGCTTGTCTGAAGAAGCTAGCCAAAATGTAGTGCATTCTGGCTCTTCAATTACGTTCTTTCTTTTTGAAAAGATTTCATTTATTTTTATTTTGTAAGTATGAGGGTTTTGATTGCATGTATGCAAGTGCACCATGTGCGTATCTGATTCCCAAGGTGCCCAGAAGAGGGCGTTTGATCCCCTGGAACCATTAAGGATGGTTGTTAGCTGCCATGTGGGTGCTGGGAACCAAACTCGGTCCTCTGAAAGAGCAGCCAGTGCTCTTAACTGCTGAGCCATCTCTCCAGTCCCCATAACTTTCTTTTTCAAGCATATACTTTGTTTAATTATTTATAATGAGCCCATATATTTAAATATCTAGAAAGAAGTATTATAGTTATCTAAAGTTTAAAAGACTTCTTTTTTCAAAAGCCTTCTAATTTTAATTGTTTTCTCAATGGTCCAAAGCATACATGCTAAGGGGGGTGAGACTAGAATTGACTGGTTTTAAAAAACAACCCTAAAGCAAAAGGAAATATTTAGTCAGAAAAGTCTGGTATTACACTACCACTCTTAAAAATCCAACAATAGTAGACCTAGTATTAAAGATCTTGAAAACCTCTTTTACTAGTCTCCTGCTGGAAAGAATCCAGAAGAAAGGGAATATAAGATTAGTGTCATAGGGGCTGGGCCTGCAACTCAATTGGAGTTTTTTTGCCTAGTGAGTAAGGCCCTGGTTCAATCCCTAGCAGGGGGTAGGGGTGGGGGGGATACTGATTCGCTTCATAATAATCACTCCTTAGTTGACAAAGAAAAGAGAGAGAGAATAGCAATTTTATTACAACATTTCATGTTTGGGCCAGATTCCCTGTCCTGGTACTTTCTGTATCAATGAATGAAGCAGGACCTGGTCACATCTCAAAAGTTTTAATGAAAGGTATTCAGAAATGAATACAAGCTACCCTCTGACAGTAAGATAAAGCAGAAGGAAAATTCCCCATATGATGTACTGTCACACTGTAAGAAATACTGAGTCACCAACTGTTCAATATAAAGTTAGATGACAATCAATTAAATGAAATCATGCAATATGAGTAAAAGGAAGTTTTAATGCTATCTTTTCAACAATTAATTTTTATGTAATTATCCTTGATAAAATCCTTCCTGAAAGTGGAATTAGCAGGGTGATGATATAGCCAGTGGGAGACAGTTAGTGCTACCAACTCCCTCTGAGACTGTGTCTTATAGTGCAACAGATCTGCACAAGGCCCCAGCTGAGGACACTGCCTTCTGTTCCTGCACTGCACCCACAGGGGCTGGCCCTCTACCACAGCAACTGGCACCAAGGAGACAAGCTTTGGTTAATTAAAACACAGAAGTCTATTTTAGGATTTTATATATATATATATATATATATATTAACTTTACTTAAACATAGGTGAAGGTATACCAAATTCAAGGCTAACTGGCTAGAAACAGACTGAAGCATTAAAAACCAAAATGAAACAATAAAAAAACCCACATACACAGGTGGGATGATGTGGTGCACACCTGAAATCCTTACACTTGGGAAGCAAGAGGCAGGGGAACAGTGGCAAGTTTGATCCCAGCATGGTCTATATAGAACGTTCCAGGCCAGCCAGAGCTACACAGTGAGGTCCAATCTCCAAAACAATAAAAGAACAACCACAAACCAAAGCCCACAAAGACACCCCTGTTCTGGCAGTCTCACTTGAAGTCCCGTCATAGAGGCAGGAGGGATAGTGGCTGAGTTCTAAAGTTCACACAGATGCTGCTCTTTCGGGCATCTCACCAGAGTTCAAGGGATACAGGCTGCTGTTCACCCCTCATCGCTGCTGCTCCAGGCATCTTCAAATGCTCGGTTCAACTGGGATTTGGGTGTAGTCTACAAAAAGGAGAAGATTCTACTAATTTTCTGTTTTGTAATTTTAGGCTTATAATTAGAAAATATGCTAGATTAATAGCAATTAGATTATTTTGAAAGAAACTGTTACTGCTAATTTCAATACAAAAGCAATATAAGAAATACCGCCAAATATATGACATATTAGACATACTAGATTAAAAGTGACATACCAGACTATTTCCAAATAACTTGTTTCCTTCAAAGTAATTACCTCATAAATACATGCATAAATAAACTACAACACTGTTACTGTTCAAGGTATTTCTGCAACTTTCCAGAGAGGGTCCAACATTCACATGCATGGTTAAGACTGGACACAGGTAGCCCAGTATATATATGTTGGCAACTTTGTGTTGTTTGGATGAAATAATATAATAAAATTTGAGAAATATGCTCATCAAACTGAATAATATATACTCTTTCTTTTTCTTTTTTCTTTTTTTAAATTTAAAGGTAGGTCTTCCTCTGTAGTCCAGGCTGGCCTAAAACTTACTATGAACTCAGGCTGGCTTTGAACTGTGGCAGTCCCCCTGCTTTAGCCTCCTTAGTGCTGGGATTACAGGCATGAACCACTACATCTAGCTAAGTAAGTTTTAATCCAAAAATTAATGTGGGCCATTGAGTAGCTATGTCTGTTTATTTTGTACAGTTAATGAAGCAGTTTTAAAGTATAGGCAAACTACGTCAGAAACAGCAGCATGTTTTTAATTAGCATGTAGTTTTCCCTGAAATATTTCTTTGAAGGCTATTTGGATAGTTTATTTAAAACAGCTTTACAGCCATAATATAACAAAGGTTTATTAGCAACTAGAGAAATGAATTATCTGTGAATTAGCAAGGCAATCCACTTTTTTGGGAACCTAAATGGCTACTTGCTTACTCTCTTCAAAGTCAATCAAAGGGCTTTAAAAGGGCTTTACGATGCTCTCGTTTTCCTTGCATATCTGGCATTAGGAATCAGGCTTACTTCTTATTCTGCAGTTTTTACACTTGTCTGTGTGTTCTACTCCAAATTCCAAGATGATACAAATGCAAGAGTACTCTTAAATTATCTTAAATATACTGCCTTTTGTAGCTTACAGAGACATTTTCTGTGAAGGTTAGCCCTACTACATGTCTGAGAATGTCATTTTCTTTTTGATGAACATGACATAAATCTTACAATTCAAACAAAATGTCAGTCCCCAATAATTTCTCAAATATCAGCTAGACTAGTTGGAAAACAATACAGGATTTAGCCATTCTTTACAGCTGTTACACAGAGCCGAGTGCATTACTAATCTCAATGCTGGATATCATCACTAAGGAGCACAACCGTTTCTTACACTTGCCTCCAAATGTCCAAACTAGGACCCAACTCCAGCTAGTTCTAGCGGCAGTAACAGAAGTAAACTGAAGCAGATTCATTTATTCTTTGATCCAAATGCTGGCGAACTCGTGGTGCCTCCGATTGACAGGTAAGTAAGTACCTTCCAGTTGAAATCTAACTTCTTACCAAGAATCCCATTTATTTATTTATTTATTTATTTATTTATTTATTTATTTATTTATTTATTTTTA